CCCCTTGGTTTATTTTTGCGACCCCCCCCCCCCCCTTCCCTAAACCAAAAATGCAAAACAAGTTCTTGAGGTGGTTATCATTGTCATGTTAACATTGAACCGTAAGCTCCAAGCCCTAAACCCTATAAAACCCCCCTATGCAAATATTAAAACTATTGCTTACATGGTATTTTCCCTAAATAAGGGGACCCCAATATAGACCCCAAAATACTACAGTCCTTAATATGGGGGACCCCAAAAAGGTACCCCTAATTTTGGGAACCCCCCACATAGAGCTCATTTCTGCCCCGCCTGGTTTACAGCCTCCAGCTGCGCGCAGGGAAGCCTTCAAGAATCATGTTCGGGAACTTGCACCATCAACTTGCGAGGTTAGGGTTTAGGGTTTAGGGTTTGGGGTTTCGGGTTTAAAGTTTAAGGCTTATAGGGTTTACAACTCTGAGTTCCAAAGTCCAAGCACACTTCAAGATGAAAGTGTCGGCCGAAGGGTTACTGTGTGGTTTGTTTTCTCAAAATGGACTAGTACCTGAATGGGCATAACCCTGCCCCTATCCCACTAGGATGGAAAGGGATGCCTAACCCATGCTCCCCAGACCCCTAAAAGCCCCTTAGAGCATAGCCGCAGACCAAAACCCTAATCTTTAAAACCTATATACCTTAATCCCTGAACCGCAGTATGCTTCCCTGAGATTAACCTGCAAATTCATAACACGGACTTAGCTCAAGTACACCACACAACTTCTGATGTGCGTTGAGGCTGCGAAAGTGCTGGGTAATTTTGGCTCTGAAAACCATTCTTGGGGTATAGGGTTTATGGTTCTTAGAGTTAAGTGTCTTCAACTATTACGGGTCTATCTCTTTCACGTGAATGACTTCGTCGGGAATGCTCTCTTAGGTTGAGCGTGTCCTGCATTCTGCTCGTCCAGACAGTAAGTGCCTACCAACTTAACCTTTAACCTGAAGCCTAAAACCCCAAACCCTAAACCTTGAACTTCGGACCCTAAACCTTAAACCTTGAAGCCCTAAAAACCTGCGCCTGAAGGCCTTAAACCTGAATAGCGCGCAAACCCCCACCCTAAACCCTAAGCCCTAAGCCCTAAACCCTAAACCCTAAGCCCTAAACCCTAAACCCTGAACCTGCCTCTCCAGGCATGCTGGAAGGTGCACGGAAGCATCCGCCATCCGAAGCACCAGGGACGGCTCCAAGGGATGACTTTGGGGATTAGGGTTCAGGGTTTAGGGTTTAGGGTTTAGGGTTTAGGGCTTAGGGTTTAGGGTTTAGGGCTTAGGGTTTAGGGCTTAGGGTTTAGGGCTTAGGGTTTAGGGTTGAGGGATCACATGGGTGGTTGTCAAAACTATGGTCCCTGTCTGGATACCCTAATTATTAGGTGCCGTATTCTAATAGGGCTCCAAAAAGGGACCATATTTTTGACAACCACCCACATAGTTTTGGGGTTTAGGTGTTTAGGTGTTTAGGGCTTATAGTTTGGGGTTTCAGGGTTTAGGTTTAGGGTTTGGGGGATTTGGGGTCGAGGGCTTCGAACTTAGGGTTTAAGGTTTTGTTTGTATGGGTTTAGGGCTGAGGCTTAGGCGTGTTTAGGCTCTGGGGTTCAGAGAAGAGGAGATTCAGGGTTCCCTCAACCCTAAACCCTTTGAGAGCGATTTTGGGTTCAGTCTGTGACTTCACACTTTTCGGATCCAGGATTCAGGGCTGAAGATCAGGATTTAGGGTTGAGGGGGCTTTGAAAGACGTGGCTGTTGGTTTAGGGTTTCGGGCTTTGGGGCCTAAACCCTAAACCCTTAAACCCTAAACCCTAAACCCTAAACCCTTAAACCCTAAACCCTTAAACCCTAAACCCTAAACCCCAGCGTATTGCTTGCATTCCGAGAATTGCAGGCAGCATTTGCAACTGCACTCCCGCGCACCTCCCACACCCTTCAACAGCGAACCATGGGTTGTACTTGGAGGGTCAGGGGGGCTAAATACAAAAAGACAATGATAATTGGGGATATTATATAGCTTACAGGGGTCTAAATACACTTACTCAGTCCCCCTGACCCTCCAAGTAAACCCTCAGACCATTGTTCTTCACAGAAGGTTGAAGGTTTAGGGCTTACCTGGCCCGAAGCTGATGAAGATGACCAATTACTCAAGGAACCTGTGCCTAAATGGTATCTACTTGGGGCCCGTAGAAATTCCCATATAAAGTTGGGGCCCTAGGATTTACTGCATACCTCTATGGAAATTTCCCAAAACAAGGGCACCGCAATATAGAATCCCAAATACTATAATCCTCGTTGTGGGCCCACCTCTCCCCACAAAAACAAAACAAGAATCCCTGATTTACGGACACCCAAACCTCTGAACCCTAAATCCATATCAGTCTTTAAAGGGACATGGGTTTGGGTTGCATTTTCCGTCTGGTGCTGAGTAGAGAACAAAGAGTTGGATTCAAGGCAGCGACTCCCAATGAACGGTTTAGGGTTTAAGGTTTTGTTCAGTTTAGGGGTTAAGGTTTAAGGTAGGCATGATACAAAACACGATGGTTGGATTATACAGAACACGATGGTTATCCGCTATAGTAACTATACCTCCCTCGAAGCAGTATAGTAACCCCAGTCATGAATATGCTACAAAGTCCCCCTGACACTGAACCCTGCACCCTTAGCCCCGAGTAATATAGCAGTTCCCATTTTCTTTTCCGTTAATGTAAGCCCCCCTGACTTTGAACAACCCTAAACCCTAAACCCTGAACCCTAAACCCTGGCCTAGGGTGCACTGAGGTAAACGTAGCTTGCTACATCCCTACCAACTCCAGAGGGGTCCCAAGCTCCATGTTTAGGGTTTAGGGTTTAGGGTTTATAGACATCAGAGAAGAACAATGCAATGGAAAAGGAAACCATCAAATATTTCGGGTCATGTAGGGATATATATATATGTTATGTATGTATATGTCTGGGATCATACAGGCGTCATGGAAAAGAAAAAGCAAACGGCTGTTTAGAATTTAAGCTTTATAGAGAAACTCGAAAAGAATCTGGGGAGTACTGGTTAGGGTTTGGGGGTGAGGGCTGGGGATGAGTTCAGCAGGGCTTCGAAAAATCAAGCTCGATAGTAAAAGCAAGATAACATGGCCTAGTAATGGAAACTGCCTCTGTACTGGATTTGCCGGGATTCTGTGTGGGAGCCTAACTAATCAGAATATGGCATTGGGGTATAGTACACTATAGTTGCAAAAGGTTCAGAGGGGAAAACAGTCAAGTGAAACATATAAGTGTATTTCATCATGCTTCTCAAGTGGTGCTGGTGCAAGTTCAGCAAATCACATGAACCCGGACTAAACACTAAACTCTGAACTCTAGACTCTAAAAACGAATCCCGGAACTTACGCTACCTATTCTCAGCGGGGACTCTGAACACGCACGTCTGAAATGAGGATGCTGGTAAGCCCAACCCCCCACTAGTAGGATTCTGTAAGTACCACAGGTTGGTGAATCCTCCCATTCGAACTCCTAAATCCATACCACCCCTACACTCGGAACCCTAACGTCACATGCCCCTACACCTTAGCCTGAGGACTATAGGGTCTAGGGTTTCCTCCGCGCCCTAAACGCACTGGCGGATAGCAGGGACAGAAGGAATGGCAAGGACATGGAAACCTATATACTACTTGGCACTTAGGACTGCTTGTTGCTGTAGCGAATGTAGGACTGGGCTATAAGGATTGTTTTTGAGGAGTATACAGAGACTACGTTAGGGGTCCATTCCCTATTAGCCATCAGCAAGCAATAACAAGGGGGTCCTGGTTTTTGCACGAAGCTTAAAAAAAAGTCTGGCACAAGGAGAGTATGACTAGCAAACGCGTGTTGCATGCCCACATCCGTCTTCTTGCCCAAAACCTATGAATACATGGGTTTAGGGTACAGTCTCCATTTCATTGTTATCTGTCCCTTGTGCTATCGAAACCCTAAACCCTAAACCCTAAAACCCTAAACCCTAAAACCCTAAAACCCTAAACCCTAGACAGTAATCTGTGCAACGTCCTCCTTCTCCCCCCGGGTCTTCAGCGCGTCACCTACCTCAGGGCTTTAGGGTTTAGGGTTTTAGGGTTATAGGGTTTAGGGTTTAGGGGTTTAGGGTTTAGGGTTTGCTGCCATGTTTCCGTGCAGGATGTGATGATCAGGTGTCAATGATCC